ATATGTTTTTTTTTCACAGAAGGATTAAAAAGAAAGAATAATGGTACTGTTTATTCCATATGATTCTGGAGGATTTTTACCTTTCTGCCATATTTCATTCTTATGAATATGCTTGATCTGTCTTTGTTGTAATGTTTTAACGGTTCAAGTATTTGAGAATATTTACCACTCAGTATCTGAAAATGGCATGGGAATCTTCACTTACTCTAATTGTGTTATGCATATTTTTTTCATGGTATATGATAATATGAAGATACCTTGTCACAAGTATCTTTCTTAAAAGCATGTATATCATGTTATGTAAATATAATTTCTGATTACTGATACTATCTCACAGACTATGTTAATTAAAGAGAGAACTCTCTTTTTTATGACAATATTAATACATGTTTTTTGTCATGAAATAGGGAAGAAATGTTCATTTTGTGTGAATATAGGTGTAGTTGCATTTCAGTGAAGAAGGTATTCCCTTTGTCATTAAGAGTATTTTATATAGTTGAGACCTCATTGAGTGAGGGTTTGGTGGCAAGAAATATCAGGTCATGACAGGTTTAAACAGTATGTTGTAACAGAAAATCCTTGATGCCAGTGGTGTGTGTTCAATAATGAAGATATTGTTTTCAGCTCTTAATCACTTTTTTTCAGGGTAATGCAAAGTGTTGTAGGTGTTAAGGTTTCTTTTTCTTATGTATAGCTCTTTATTTTTAAGTGTTAGATCTTGTTCATTGTTGTAAGCATAATAGTTGTCAGTATTTTAATTATTTCTAAGCCACTGGATAGCAATCTCCTCTTAGGGCAAGAACTCCAGTACTGATGTTTGCTGTGCCATACCTTATTCAGGATCCGGGCTGCTGAGCACAGCGCAGAGCTACCCGACACTGACCTCCAGCACCACCTCAACTACCTCCACCACTACCACGGGCGCTGCGGCTTCCTCCACCACCAACCAGCCCTCCACCAACCTGGCCACCTTCCCCCACGGCCTGACCATGAGCCTCACCTCAACGTCCAGTGACTCAGAACAAGTTAGCCTAGAGGTGAGTGTTGGGCGGTTCTCTAGGTGGAATTCTTTGCGCTGGGGAGCTTAGGGGGTTACAGTTAGGTGGTGCGATGGTCCTTTGTTCCTTTTCTTTTTTTTCTTTCTTATCTTTTATGAATTGTGGAACTTTAGATTCCTTGAAGAATATTGTTTTAAGGCTGCTTTATCTTTATGATCTGATTTTGTAGGTTGTATTTCTGGATTTATTATTGTTTATGTGTTAAGTATCAGGTGATTGAGTTTCATGGTGATAACAATAATCTGTCTCTTTTATTTTCAGGATTTCCTTGAAAGCTGTCGGGCAAGTACACTCCTTGCTGAGTTGACAGATGATGAATTGCCAGATCCTGATGATGATGAAAATGATGATGATGACAATGATGACGATGATGATGACTATGAGGAAGAAGAGGAGTGCTATGAAGTCAGTGTAAGAATAGAATGGAATGCTTTATTTCATCGGTTTGGTTGTGTTTATTTATCTATCTGTTTACTTATTAGTTATTTATATTTACATAGATATAGTCATGCAAAGTGTTTAGATGTACTGGATTCATAAAGAAGAGTTTTGTATTTAGGTTAGTATTAGTATTTCACTACCATATGAAGTTATTTTCATTTTGAGTGTGGGAAGATTTGCAGGTAATAGTAAATTATTATTTTTTTTTTATGCCTAGTGAACTGAAGAATGTTTTGAGGTTAAAAACTAGTGCATTATAGAAATTCAGATATTAAGACAGTGTAATAATTGCTGCTGTTTGAATGTTTAGCATCATGTAATTGCTCTGCAGTTCTTGTTATTTTATATTTGAGGTGAGGAATATATAATAGATAATCTGATATGATAGGATTTTGAAACTGAAGCTGTGAAAGCTTCTTGAACAGCTGTTCCAACAGGACTTGGGGCAAAACAATATAGTGATATAGATTTCCTCGTTCCGTCAGGTCCGTAACGGCAAGAGAAGAGGATGGGATGATGAGTTTGTCATAAAGAGACAATTCCCAGCTCTCATTCCAGCCTTTGACCCTCGTCCAGGACGTACTAATGTTAACCAGACGCAAGGTAAGCCAAAAGATTTGTTTTGGTGTTTGATTATAGGAGTAAGGGATAGTCCTTTTTAAGGTTGATTTTGAGAAAAGGGAGGATATGCACTTGGTTGTTTGTCATTTATTTATGATGAAATAGTAGTTTGTGGGAAAAAGGTAATAGTAAACGACTTATTGGGAAAGCTGGGAAATGTGACACAATGAGGAAAGGGGGAGAGGAATATTATTCATCAAGATTTCAGGGGCTCAAATAGATAGAGAAAATCTAGTAATATAAAGTGATAATATGATGTCTTAATCACAAATTTACAGATCTGGAGATTCCAGCCCCAGGCACGGAGGACCACTTGTGCGATGCGCCAACAGAGGTAGTAAGCGGCCCTCGACTCAGTCTCACTCTGCGGGGACCCAATCTCCCCGGGATACCAGAAGTCGATGTGCCCATTACCAAGAGTTCTTCAACCATCTTTAGTGTTGTTCAGACCCTAGTGAACACTGCCAATTTCCCTTCACGTCAGGAGAGATTGAGACGGATTTGGGAGCCGACGTACACGTGAGTAGATATTTGTAAACTTTTTTTTTTCTCTCTCAATATCTACTCAACTGTATTATAGATATTGTGGTTTTAATTATCTATCTCTTTCTTCATTCATTGTCTTCTGTTTTTCGCTTGAAGTTATTATAGAGTGTCGAATATAACTTCATTTTTGCCAGTCATCATAGAATAACCAGACACTCCCAATTTCAGTCTTGTCTACGGTGAGGCTCGTGAAGATGAGGGCACAGAAGGAGAAACCTCTGGCCACCAATCCTTCCAGCGTCGCAGTTCCCGAACCAATATCCTCACTGAAGCTGCTGGCTCGACACACCCCGGCAGCACAAGCACCACTGCCACTGGGGATCCTTCAGTGGAGGATGTGCTACAGCTGCTACGTCAGTTATTTATTTTAGGACAGGATAGTGCTGCAGCAGGTATGTTTTTGTGCATATGTTAATTGATATCATTACTTTTGTAATTTTTTTTCTTATGGGAAGGTTATGGGTTATGGATGGTAAAAGTGTCTCTGCAGCTTTACATCATTTTCTACTTAGGAATGGCAGAAACATATTCAATCCAAATATATGACCTATTTTGTGTACAGATTCTTTGAAGAGGAAGTATATTTGAATATTTATGTATGTTTTATCCTATTATTCTATCCTGAGGACTATAATACATTCTCCTTTTTTTCCTTCAGAAAAAACAGATTCACCAATGGATACACTAGGAGTGAGGTGTGAAGAGTTTGAATCCAAGAAAGTTGGAAATAAGCTAGTCCAGCAGGTTAGTAAAGCACTTGACTGTATTTTGTTGTTTTATTAATTACAGAGTTTGCGCTTATCGTTTGGGCATTTTGGTTTTCTTTTGGTGAGATTAGTTTGATTGGGATTCAAAGGAATTTCCTGTATATTAGTTGTAATTTGGTATTAATTTTATAATCAATAACTTTTTCCCTAGGTGGGAGAGGCTGTTGTCCTGGCCTGTGGTGCACTTCCATCATGGTGCGAAGACTTGACCTATGCCACTCCCATGCTGTTTCCCTTTGACACTAGACACCTTTACTTCAACTGCACTGCATTTGGTCCAGAGAGGTAAGAATCCTGCTTCTTTTTGTGGTGGGGATGTTTGATATTTGGTGTGTGTTTATGGCTTTGGCTGAGATGACATATTATTTTGGATGAAATAATGTATAATGTTTTTGATGATGATTGTAATATGATGATGGTGATAATAACTAGAAGAAGTATAATGATAATAATTAGTGACATTGATGATGATACAGATAATGATGATAGTGGTGATGATGATTGATATAATAACAATAATAGTATTTTATTATAATAGTAGAATATACTCTGATGGTGATGTGTGACATTCTGTGTGTTTTTAGAGCTTTGGCAGAGATATATTGTTTTGGATAGAAATAAACACAACACCAGGTTATAAAATTTATGATGAATATTGTAAACATAGTGATGATGATGATAACGATGATGATGATGATGATATAATTATAATTATAATTGTAATTATCAATTATAATGATAATGATAATGTTAATGAAGATGATGATAGGAATAAATATAATGATGATAATTAATGATAATGATAACCAATGTCCTTTCTTAGGTCCTTGGTGTGGCTCCAAAGTCAGCGTGACGTTAGTGTCGAACGTCGTGGAGGCTTGAGACGAGATGACCCCCATGAGTACAGGGTGGGACGACTCAAGCACGAGAGGGTCACTGTCCCTCGCGGCCCCAATCTGTTGCAGTGGGCTCAGCAGGTGGGTAGAGGGGAGAAGTTTTTAGGGTCTAATTCTGTTGACATTAGCTTTTGATGTGTAGATTAAGAGGAAGTGGAGATGGGAAGCTTGAACAAGTGTTGAATAGATAGGCGGCCTGTGAGTTAGTGAATAAGGGGCTGGGTTTTAAGATTTGCAGTAGGGAGAATTTGAAGATCCCTAGATCCAGTTAGGTTTCTGACTTTCAAAGAATGCTTTAATGAATTTAGGAAAGTGTATAATGGACAGGTTAATTTTTGTATGAATGTTATTAACAGCCGTAATTTTTATTGTTCTTCTAGGTCATGCATATTCATGCAGCACGCAAATCTATCCTTGAGGTTGAATTCCGTGAAGAGGAAGGCACTGGCTTGGGCCCCACTTTGGAGTTCTATGCACTGGTGGCCGGAGAGCTGCAGCGCGCCGACCTCGGAATGTGGCTGTGTGATGACCAGACTGCTGACCCCATCACCCCCCCGGCTCTTGATGGAGGCAATGGGAATGGGGACTCTCAGGCCAGACCCCCAGGATACTACATCCGTCGCCAGGGAGGTCTCTTCCCTGCTCCCCTGCCTCAGGATAGCTCTGTTTGTGACAAAGCTGTTGAATTATTCACCTTCTTGGGAATATTCCTTGCCAAGACTTTGCAGGATAACAGACTTGTGGACTTGCCGTTGTCTCGTCCTTTCCTCAAACTCATGTGCCATGGTGAGTTTGCCAATGTGAAGGACAGAGGCATTGCTGGAAGCGCTATCAAGCCTCGTGGAGGATTGTCTTCTCTGCCTGCGGAGGAGGATCTCATGACCTCCTCTATCATTAGCGAGGAGAGCGAGAAGGAGTTGGAATTAGACCCTCCCAAGTATCGCATCACAGATACTCAGCCCTGGTAAGTCTAAATCACAAATTTGATTATTTACTTACTTTTACTGATTTATTTATTGTTTTAACAAAGTCTCTGCTTGTCATAAGTTAATGATTACTAATTGTACTCTGAGTTATTGAACATGGTTCTGAAAAATTTCAGTAAATGAGTATTACTTTTAATAAAGGGAGAAATGTGTCTACAAGAATTCTTATGTTGATTCTTAGCAATTTACTGATTACTTAATTAATAAATTTCCTTTTACTCCTTAAAGGTTTACAGGGCTGCTTACCTTAGAGGACTTGTGTGAAGTGGATGAAGAACGGGGAGGATTCTTGCAGCAACTCAAATCCCTCGTCGCCATCAAGCAGCAGATTGTTAATGATACATCCATCACAGAGGAGGATCGGCGCCTCCAGCTCCACAACCTGGCCCTTCCATTGCCAAGCAGCAGCCAGGGTGCAGGGCCTCCAGCAGTCAGACTAGAGGACCTGTGTCTTACTATGCAGTATGCTGCTCCTTCACGCCACTTGGGTTACACTTCCATTGAGCTCAGGTCAGGAGGATCTGACCAGGAGGTGACCCTAGACAATGTGGAGGATTATCTTGATCTTACCTTGAACTGGGCTCTGGAGAGTGGCATTAGAAGGCAGTTGGAAGCTTTCCGGGCGGGATTCTGCCAGGTGTTCCCTCTAAAGAAACTTGGTGCATTTAGTCCAGATGAATTAAGGCTGATGTTGTGTGGTGACCAGGCACCCATGTGGACACGTGAGGATATCCTGGCTTACACAGAACCCAAGCTAGGATACACAAGAGACTCCCCAGGATTCTTGAGACTGGTGAATATTCTTGTAGGACTTACAGCCGAGGAACGTAAAGCTTTCTTGCAGTTTACAACGGGATGTTCCTCACTGCCTCCTGGTGGCCTGGCCAATCTACATCCTCGCTTGACTGTGGTTCGCAAGGTACGATTTAAGGGTTCATGGCACTTGATTTTGACTATTTAGAAATAGGATTTATATATGGTTTTAAAATTTTGCTGTGTGCTTTCATACAATAGTGAAGACATTAAATTTACTAATAAAGTTTGGTAAGGAAATTATTTGCTTTAACAAAATTTTCTTTGTTCCACAGGTTGATGCTGGTGACGGCTCCTACCCGTCCGTTAATACATGTGTCCATTACCTGAAGTTACCAGATTACTCTTCGGAAAATATAATGAAGGAAAGGCTCCTTGCAGCCACTCGTGAGAAGGGCTTCCATCTCAACTAAATAATGATAAAGACTTTATGCTCAGGTGATTGCATTAAGAGTATAATAATTCAATAGATTTTATGAAGAAAAATAAAATTCTTGTATTCATGGACAAAATCATCATATTGATGGACAAAAAATAAATAGTGCATATATATCAGGGCCAAATTTCAAGGAATGGGAGAAATTGTTCAACATTTCTGGACTAATTGCAGCAGTAATTTGCAGACCAAAATTAGTGTTGAGTGAAAACTTTCGTGCGAAAAAATGTTAATATTTGTTCCCTTGTGGCTGGTAAAAAATGAAAGTGAACAAGTGATATGACTTTCTTATAAATATAAAGGACTTGCTTGGAATTTTGAGTGTGGCATGATCGCTGCCAAGGGCTCAGTAATTACACATACTTACTGACTGTCTTACTGAGAAAAAAGAAGATGATGAAAACCCACAGAACCAGTTGTCAACTATCAAACCAAGAAAACTCAACATTCTAGAATTCAAGAATGTGTCTGCATTCTGAAGTCTGAGAGATGAATTTGCACAGTGTTAAATGTCATGTTAAATGTTCCCTGGTGGAGCAGAGCACATCTTGCTAGCTGTTATCATTGACATAAACAGACTTCTTATACCGCCTGGACCACCCTATACATCGGAATCATTCACCTTGTTAGTCAGCCCCCATTTGATCAAGGATGAAAAATTTGGTATGTTGTACATTTGGGTGTGATGTGTGTGAATGCTTTGCGGAAACCTCGGCCAGAGTAATATTGCACAAATGTTTTCATGCCATGTGAATGTGATGCATTAGACTTACAACCCTGATGTTCTGACAGGTATTGATACCATGCAGGCTGACAATGGCCAGTTGTTGTTTTATGTTGTCACCATTAGCTTATGTCTCTCTGTGATACTGATGTTGAAGGCATTGCATAGGCAGCAAATTGTAAATAGAGATGTACATCACAAATATGCCACTGTAACAGTGATGTGTCTTTAAGTAGCAACTAAGCATCCATGATACTGAGAAAAAAAAAATTAAAAAGGGGGATGATATTGTTGATTAGGTGGTTGTGTGGTGGAGTAGCATCTTGTTGTGGTTATGTTAGTGTCAGCTGTTCTCACCTTGGCTTGTTAGGAAGGATCTCATGAGAAAGTAAGCATGACATTCACAGTAGCTGATGCTTGTATGTGCATTTTTGATATATGAAAGAAGCAACCCAGGCATATCTTCTCTCGTAAGTAATACTTGATCCCTGGCATTTTGTGTCAAAATGTACTGGGTTTTTTGGCTGCCTGGACAAGTCAGCACTCTTATGTGGTTACACCAATGATAGGCAAATTTCTTTCACCTATAGCCTCAAGCAGTGTAGTGTATTTTTGGTTTGGGGGGGGGGGGGGGGGGGGGGGGGGGGGGGGGGGGGGGGGGGGGGGGGGGGGGGGGGGGGGGGGGGGGGGGGGGGGGGGGGGGGGGGGGGGGGGGGGGGGGGGGGGGGGGGGGGGGGGGGGGGGGGGGGGGGGGGGGGGGGGGGGGGGGGGGGGGGGGGGGGGGGGGGGGGGGGGGGGGGGGGGGGGGGGGGGGGGGGGGGGGGGGGGGGGGGGGGGGGGGGGGGGGGGGGGGGGGGGGGGGGGGGGGGGGGGGGGGGGGGGGGGGGGGGGGGGGGGGGGGGGGGGGGGGGGGGGGGGGGGGGGGGGGGGGGGGGGGGGGGGGGGGGGGGGGGGGGGGGGGGGGGGGGGGGGGGGGGGGGGGGGGGGGGGGGGGGGGGGGGGGGGGGGGGGGGGGGGGGGGGGGGGGGGGGGGGGGGGGGGGGGGGGGGGGGGGGGGGGGGGGGGGGGGGGGGTGGGGTGGCGGAAACCTCGGCCAGAGTAATATTGCACAAATGTTTTCATGCCATGTGAATGTGATGCATTAGACTTACAACCCTGATGTTCTGACAGGTATTGATACCATGCAGGCTGACAATGGCCAGTTGTTGTTTTATGTTGTCACCATTAGCTTATGTCTCTCTGTGATACTGATGTTGAAGGCATTGCATAGGCAGCAAATTGTAAATAGAGATGTACATCACAAATATGCCACTGTAACAGTGATGTGTCTTTAAGTAGCAACTAAGCATCCATGATACTGAGAAAAAAAAAATTAAAAAGGGGGATGATATTGTTGATTAGGTGGTTGTGTGGTGGAGTAGCATCTTGTTGTGGTTATGTTAGTGTCAGCTGTTCTCACCTTGGCTTGTTAGGAAGGATCTCATGAGAAAGTAAGCATGACATTCACAGTAGCTGATGCTTGTATGTGCATTTTTGATATATGAAAGAAGCAACCCAGGCATATCTTCTCTCGTAAGTAATACTTGATCCCTGGCATTTTGTGTCAAAATGTACTGGGTTTTTTGGCTGCCTGGACAAGTCAGCACTCTTATGTGGTTACACCAATGATAGGCAAATTTCTTTCACCTATAGCCTCAAGCAGTGTAGTGTATTATGTTTTTATTTGAGTCATTTACTAGCATTTTGGGTATTTAATTTGAGCTTTGTGCACAACTTTGTAACAGGGCTCCTCTCTTTTTTTACGTTGTCACTAGTACAGGCTGACAGTTATTGACGTTTATGCCGATTGTCACATCATAGTCATGCTCTGAATCGTGATATTGGTTGGTGCAGCCTTACATTTGAAAGCTGAGTTATGTTATGCCAGTCTGTTGATGCATAATGCACGACAGGCACTATCCATTAAACTATGTCTAGGTTCAAAGTGCCTGTACATTGTAATGATGTACTTATGGTGGATCTGTAATGCTGCATATATATAGATATATATATATATCTGTGAAAAGAATATAAAAAAAATAAATAAAAAAAGTTCTACATACAGTACTGTATTGTGTTTTCTTTCATACTTTCCACTGCTTTATTTTAGGATAATTTTAATTTTATTCTTGACAGAACAGAAGGAACTTGACTTTATTCACTGTTCTGGCTGCCAATTGAATTCTTGCTGCTGTCTAATTCTCTAGTACTTTTTATATACAATAGATTTTTTCAAATAAGAAAAATAGGGGAAAGAATGTGGTCTTTCATAAGAATGTAGCATCCATCCTGACAAAGAATATTTTGCCTGGATGGGTAATTTTGCACTTTCAGAAAAAAAAACATGCTTAATCAAAATAATCTAAATGGTGGTGTGTCTCAGCATCAGTAAATGTGAGTACTATAAAAGTACTGTAGCAACAAAAGTAGCAGCAACAGTGTCAATAAAATACCAGTAACAAAAATAGGAAAAGCAATATACAGGTTAGAGAACACTCAATATCATAAAAAAATAACCATAATAGAAACATTATCAGTGAAAATGGTTTCCAACATCAGTGAAAACAGTGAACATATTTGTAAGAAATATATGCAACAGTTGTAAAGTTGAGTAATAACATTAGTTACATCAAAGGTTACACCCCCTCCCAATCCCATGCCCGTTGTTGCCGGGGAGGGGGGGGAGGCTTAGGGGACCCAGTGCTGGGAAACCCCCCTCCCTGGGCCTCAGCCCTTCCTCGACTCAACTAATTTTGCACGGGCTTTTCCCCTTCCCTCTTTTCTCTAACCCCTTCTGCTATTCACTTCGTAAGGTGTGTGGGCCGTGCTGAAAGGATGAAAGGCTGACTTTGTGCCAGTCATGTGAACGGCATGGGGGAGCCATGGCTAACCCTTACCTCTCAAGGTGACTGTTTCTCTGCCCAATACATTAGGCTTACAATAGCCAGTAATGAAGACTTTGTAACCTTATTAGGTTACAACTTTCTTAATCTTCATTAAATTAATTTCTTCATCTTCATTACTACCCAGTCCTCACTTATTACTACTCTGCAGCCTTATTACCCACCTCTCCTCAGTACAATCTCTCGCAACACTATTCCCTCCTTCACACATCCTCGTCCTTCTATTACCCCCACCTCTACAAACAATTTGAATACAATGTTTTACCCAGTTTAAATGGGATCGATTTTTCGTTCCTCTCTCAATACTTGTACCGGAACTGTCTCCATCTCCCCGACAAAATGCCCTGTCTACGATAAGGATTGGTCAGATTGTGGAGAAGACTTACTCGCCTGCCTCATGAAATGTGATGAAGTATCTACTCCCTCTACACACTAAGTAACTGACAATATGTATCCTCTTCCCATTTATGTTCCCCTTACACCCCTTCCTCGTACTTACTCCTTACACACCCCATCCCCCCAGCTCCATCTACATCAACCCGCCATCAGTCCCCACTATCCCTTCCGCTCCCTCCCACGAGAATCCTTTATGTAACAACAGTGCTCTCCCCCGGATCCTCCACCTCCTGACACCCCTCCTGATACTTCACCTCCTCCCTCTAGTCCCTTATCTCACTCCCTAGTTCCTTCCACTCCAACTTCTCCGTCACGCATTGTTACGGTTACCACTCGCGGATTAATTCGTAGTAGCTCTTCTGCATTGGAATATTCGCGGTTTCCGTTCTCACAGACCTGATCTTCGTAATATCCTTTCTTCTTTTAACCCATCCATTATCTGCTTCCAAGAGACTTCTTACATATCCATCTGTACCAATGCCCAATTACCATTCGGTCTCTTCCTCATACTCCCGCTTCGTCTACTTCGTCTTTTCTCTCCGTGTTGTCTTTGAAATTCTTCTTTCTCAACTCCAACCACCTTTCCTCATATTTGGAAACATGAGTGTGTTTATAAAGGTCAAAATTGCCTCTTCCACATCTTTTCCCCAGTTCGCAGGCAGAACAAATTCCTTCTTGCTGTCAATAGCATTGTTCCAGTTCTACCACCAGGGGCCCGGCCATCACCATATGTAGATGATTTAACCATCTTCGCCCCTGGCGCGTCATGGCTTTCACTTTTCTACATCCAAATCTTTCTCCATCCTTTTCTCTTGCTCCACTCTTCTTGGCGTTATTTTTGTCTGCAGACTGTCCTGACGAGACCATATTTTTTTAATATAAGAAAAGGCTCGCTTAGCCCTAGGCGCCTTCCGCTCTTCTCCATTTGAGAGTCTGTCAAGAATGTCATCTCTCTTTCGACGCTATGCCTTTCTCTCCGATGCTATGCCCGCTTCCACCAATTTTCCCTCGTTAAACTAACTATCCCTTGATCTCTGCTCCCTACCTCTGCTTCTTCTCCACGTTTACCTATTCTTTTCTCCATTCGCATGGGGATACTGTCCTCTCCCACTCCCCCTTTTTTTCGTCTCCGACCTCTTCCCTTCTTTTCTGTCCATTCCGTTCCTTCATGGCTTATGCCTCACGCCCGTATTTTGCCTCTCTTTTCCCTGACCCTCCAAAATCAGATATCCTCCCCCCACCCTTATGTCCTTCTCACCCGTTTCCTTGGCCATGTCTCCACTCACTCCTCCATGTTTATACTGATGGCTCCAAATTCACCTCCGGTACCGGTTTCGCAGTAGTCTTCCCAACTCGCACATTCAAATATCCCCTCCCTCCTGAGTCCAGTGTCCTTGCTAGAGAACTATGCGTACTCCTTTTCGCCTTAAATCCCATTTACTCTATCCCATCCTCCTCTTTCACTAATTTTACTGACTCCCGTAACTTACTATCTCTCAAAGTCTATGATCTCGACCAACCTCCTTGTCTGTAAGATTCAGGACTGGTTATTCTACCTGTGTACGTGCCACAAATCTGTCAGCCATGTCGAAATCCCCGGCAATGAACATATATACTGTAGCACTGTATGTCCACATCAATTGCGTTTCTCACGTATTCCAGACACGGATTATGAACCACTTTAAATCCTTTCTTTATACCCTATGCCATTTTTTCTAGTTAAGTCTTCTCGCCAATAAATTACATACTGTAAAACTATCAATCTCCTGGTCAGCTCCATTCCATCAAAAACAGGCGCTGGGAGACGGCTCTTGCCCGCTTGCGTATTGACCACAACCGCCTTACGAACTCACAGTTCATGTCACGTTCTGATC